AAGGTCGTCCCCTCGCTGTCAACAATTCCAGAAGGCTCTCGAGTTGTACTTACTCTCCCTTGGACCCTAGACCCACGATCCCAAGGCCTGTGCTCAAGCTCTCCAAAACAGAAATGAAATCCAACACCCTCCAAAAACAGGAGACCTCATCAAGTCCAAGACAAATCGGAATACAACAGAGAAAACTACATTCACTTTTCGTAAAGTAAGTACTTACAACAACAAAGGACAACCGCATCCGATCCTACATATACAGTGTCCAACAAAAGAAAAACTATCTCAATAGTAGTATGCAAGGTAAAGGCGAGGAGGCAACAAGAGCGGGAAAAAGACATGACAGGTCATTAAAGGGCGTACAGGGTATGTACAAGTACATATCATAGAACGAAGAGAGGGCGTGAAGATCATGCAATATCTCATTTTCAGTCCGTTTCGTCACACGAGGATTCGGAGGCTCAACCAATTCATCATACAATGTTAAACCTAACGAACAGACACCTCATCAGCTACTGCCCCCACCGAAACGAAAAAAGAAAACTCACGCCTCAGACTTCCAGTCCTCGCCCTTCGCCGCCAGCTCCTCCTTCTCCGCCGTCCGGTTGACCCACCCAGCAGGGTGGCCCTCATGGGACAAGAGCGAGTTGCGCTTGTTCGAGACGACCTTGAACTGCGAGTGCGACGCCGTAGTCGACGCGGGCGACTTTGTCGACGACGCATCGTCCTTCTTGCGCTTGAACAGCTAGAAAAAAAACACATCATCAGCGCCCGCACCAAGAAATACAAACCTTGAAACACTCACCTCCTGCATCGCCTGCACCCTCCCCTCCCCATCCTCCGCCTTCGCGCTCTCCATCCGATCCCTCACAGCAACGAGCTGCCCATCGACGTACTCCAGTCCCGTCTCCAGCGCATCCGCGACGGCCTTCTGGATCTGCTTCTTGATCAGGCTGCGCGCGAGCGGCTGCAACGTCTTGTACAAAAAGTCATGCTTCGAATCCCGGATGCTGAACTTGAGTCCGTCGACTTTGACGTGCACATGCTCCACTTTGAACACGGATGACTTGTCCTTGCCCGCCGAGACCAGCGTCACCGTCGCCTGTATTACACACCACGCGTCAGCACATCCCCAAGAACGAAGAACGAAGTAAAGGAATGAGAAGAAGAACAAAACGTACCGTCAACCCCTCCCCACCAAGCACAACATCCGCCAGCCCCGAATCCTTCATCTTCGGCACCCCCGTCTTCTTCTTATAATAAAACGCCACATCCCTCATATCCGCCTGGATCTGCGCAAACGTCAACGTGAAGCGATGATGCGCCTCGTCCTTGATCGCGTTGTACGGCGAGAACTTGACAAAGTTGTGCGCCTCGAGCGACACCTGGTTCGGGAAGAGGTTGCGCCCGGAGAGCGTGAGGTTCTCGACGACGAGGTCGAGGCCGTCGTCGGTGTACTCGACGCGCGGGATGGGGATGTAGCCGACCTGGGGGGTGTAGGCGTGAGTCCAAGGGCGGGGAGACGAGGAAGAGCAGAAACGGACCTTGTCGACGAGCTGCGGCAAAATGACCTTGCGGATGTCATTCCAAAGATCACTCTTGAACTTCAAGCTTCCCTCGCTATCGAACAACAGGTCCTTCGTCAGCCTCGCCCAGTCCTCTCCAAAGCGCCGGTTGATCTACGGTTCAACTAGTCAGCCTACTTGGACCATAAAGAAAGAAGGGTGAGTACGCACCGGGTCCTCGCCCATCGCCTTGAACCAATCCCCAGTACTATTGAATAGGCGATCAAAGTGCTCCTTATACTTCCCATCGTAGAACTGGCGACCATCATCACGGAGCCTCCTCGCCTGGGCGTTGCAGTCTGGCTCCAGAACATATCCAGGCTCCAGGAGGACCTAAGATAGCATGATGTTCAACATCGTAGAACCATGGAACAAACGAAGGAGGCGCGCACCTTGTGGATATACGTATTGACCTCCTCGAACCACTTCCGGAGCTCCGCATCCCGAGACGCGTCGTCGCGCAGGGCCTCAAAACTGTCAAGGATAGGATCCATGCTCTTCCCGTTTGCGAAGCGCTCCAGCAGTGTGCGGATCTCGTTGATCGCCTGCTGGAGTGTCCGGTCCTGTTGATCAAGTATATCAGCATTGGGATGGGAAGATAAAGGGAGGAAAATCGAACCTCGCTGACCCCGCGTACACCCTCCTTATGCGCTTCGACGGCGCCGCGACCGTGTGCGGCGTACTCCTCGGCGTAGTTGAGCAGCCAGCGGATCGCCTCTTGGTAGTCGTCGTGCTTCTGGCACTCAATGATGACCTATTCGCAACAATGGGGTCAGTATATGCCATCTTGTAGATACAGAGCTTGAAAAGTGAAAGGGGAGAACGTAGCGCAGCAGATGCCCAGTGTCTGTGCCTCACGTAGGCGGCCTAGAATACGGCTAGTGAAAGGAAAAGAAAGGCAACGAACCTTCTTGCCGCGGTAGATGAACTGATCTCTTCGCTCAGGCGGGAAGTATTCCTCGGTCAAGAACTTCTTCCCTCGGTCAATACGATCCTTGTGCTCCTGCGGTACCTTGTCCGTCACGTTGTCCTAGAACAAATAACACCCGTTAGCTTCGTCTTCAACTCTCAAACGAAAAAGGTAAGAGCACGCACCCTAAGTCCTTTGATCCGTCCAAAGAACCCTCCCTTCTTCCTCTCCACCTCCACATCGGCATCAGGATCCTCCGCAGCCCTACGCTCGCGCTCCTTCGCCTCCTGTTCGCCCCTCTGCTCCGCACTCTCCTTCGCATCACGAGCATGCTCTGCCGGACGATCGACCTTCTCATCACCCGCAACCCCTCTCGCCGTCGTCTCAAGCCTCGACGAATCAGTATTATCCAGCCCCGACCTCACAGCCTCCTCCCCAAACGCCTTCGCTTCATTCGGCCTCAAATCCTTCTGCTGCTCCTCCTCGTCCGTTCGCCCCGCCACATCCCCACTCACACCTCCCTTCGCCTTCTCCTTTTCCTCCCCAACCATATCGCGTACCTCCCCGACGCTGCGCTCCTTCCCGTCAGCGCCGACGATACGCGCATCCGAGTCCTGCTTCGGATGGTGCTTGATTTTGGCCTCGGTGCCGGGCACACGCGCCTCGAGGACGGGCGTTTCGTTGGGGCCTGCGCGGCGCCCGCCTTCGGTGATGAACTCGTCCTGGGGCCCGCTGGCGTCGACGTTGGCCATGGCCTCTTGGGGCGGGGCGGCGAGTTCGGCGGCTTTGGAGAGGCCGGTGGAGAGGAGGTCGCGGCCGATGAGGGAGAAGTCGGACAAGAGCTTGCGGACTTCGGAGTTGGTGAGGATGAGGGAGAGAAGAGTGCGCAGGTGTTGCACAGCTGTAGGGAAAAGGGTTAGTTGGGGGGGAAGAGGGCGGGTATATGCGCGATGAGGGTACCTTGTCTCGAGTCTTCGCTCATTTTTTCTTGGTCGACGGGGACACCTTCTTTTCCGGGTACACCCCCGAGGATGGCCTGGTGGTCGATGGCGCGGGTGTGCCAGATGAATTGCTGGAAGAGCTCGTCGCCGTTCTTCTCTCTGACCATGAGACGCGCGGTCTCCACGATATCCTTGGTATCTTGCACGAGCTTTTTTCCGTCCGGGGACAGCTTGTCGACGTCGATGGGGGAGTGCTCGAGCACATATCGGAGTGCCTTGTCGATCTGCTCGTTGGTGGGCATGCGGCCCAGGCGGAAGGCTTCGATCATGCCATAGAGGCGAAGCTAGACAGCCATTAGCGGGGCTGAAACATTGAACACAAGTAAAACACGTACTTTGCGGTCGACGTCGGCGTCCTTGGCCTTCTTGTTGACGGGGTCGGCGACGGAGTCCTTGGCGGGGTGGGTGCTGGTATCTTTTCGGGCGGCCGGTAGAGACATGATTATGGGGGGACCGTCTCACGGAGTCGAGCATTATATATGCTGGACGCGGGGCGATGATGATTTGGCGACGTCATCCTTGGTTTTGCAAGACCTGTTGGAGAGCAGAGCAGGGAAAGTCCTGAGCTATTTTGAGACCTGCCATTTTAGGAAAGGCCAATTCGCACGTTCCCGAGGGTCCGTGCGCTTCGACTACAAGCACCATCGCGGTTCTCACTGGATAGCACTATTTATCCCCTGGAATATCCTCGACTCTGTGTAAGCTGCTCTTTGTGTAAGACACTCCGAGTCCTTGGCGCGCCCGATTGGATACCGATGATGTCAAGTTGAATCAATTGTATAGTGACTCCACTGCCTGCCTTTTGCAATTCATGCTTGCTCCTACTCCTTTGTTCGCGATCGAACAGTTCAACGCAGTCGAAAGCTTACAACTGGCGTACATCTTGCATCATGAATCGCTCCGATTACTGTCCTGGCATGGCCTAGTTTCCATCGATCAGGCCGCTCCCTTCATAGCCTTTCCCAGTCGCGGGGACCTTCCGACACGCGATAGCCTCATTGAGCGTCTGCTTATTCTTCCTGTCAATAGATCCCCTTGCGATCCTCCCCCAACGTCATCGCATCTTAGAGGCCCCGACGCGTCCGACCCAATGGTCAGGTAACCCTTATCGTGGTGCCTCATTTCATTTCACGTCCTTCTCTATGACCTCGTCATTCCAAAACAAGTGGATACCAGTATGCGCGATACGAGAGCTCTCTGCTCCCCAGTATACCATAACTCTCAATCCGATTATCTTCCTCAGGTCGAGTAACGCATCCGAAGGTCTAGACGTCTATCAGTTATTGTTCACTCCTCCTCCATGCCTTGTCGCTCCATCGTCTCTCAATGCCGCTGGTTATCCCTGTACACCCTTGTTTTCTGACGGGAACCCTTTCGACTCCAACTACTACAGTCACCGTGTTGAGCAGATCAGTCATGACTCATGAGCTTACAGTGCTCACTGCTGAATGTACAAAAGAACTGTGTTCATACTTATCGGCAAAGGTTTGAAAAAGTGGACCATGCACTAACCTGCACTAACTCCAATCACTCCCTGTCTGGGAGTCGAACCCAGCTCTCGCGCGGGAGTAGTGATCCCAATTCCATGACAAGCGCGTGTACTGAACCGATATACTAACAAGGAGTGATTGACCGCTGAGGCCTGAGGCTTTGGGGACTTCCCGGACGGACGCCGCGCAGAGCTCACCACGTCTGCACGACTACCAATTATTATAGTGTTATTATTCGCCGCTCCTCCGGAATGCCTCGTCGCTCCATCACCTCCGGTTTTCCTGTACACCCTTGATTCCTGAATAATGGTCCAAACTCTAGTCGTGCTTTCTACAGTGGCAACAGAAATACTTTCAAGGCGCGATATCGGTCTTCGAGATTCGGCGGGATCTCCAGCCCCAATTGGCAGCCCCAGTAAGATCCCGCGAAAAGAAGGAAGCCGCAATCTTACACGTGCCACCGGTCCAGGAGAAAGCGACTTCAACTACTGACACCTTCAGGAGCAGATCAGTCATGAATTATGATGTTACAGACAAGTTTGAAGTTACAGTGCGCAAAACATTGCATGCACACTACTCACCGGCACAAGGTACAAAAAATCGGTCAGTTTCCTCCTAGCTCCCTGTCTGGGAGTCGAACCCAGCTCTCGCGCGTAGTCCCATCTTCGAACGTCCATGACAGGCGCGTGTACTGAACCGATATACTAACAAGGAGTGATTGACTGCTTAGGCTTTAGGGACTTCGCGGACGGACGCTACGCAGAGCTCACCACGTCTATCAGGAATTATTCGCCCATCCATGCCTCGTCGCTCTATCACCTCTGGTTGTACACCCTTGTGTCATGAAATGCTAAGTCCCTTCCGAGTTCCGACCCCTCGCCTCCGTTTCCCCTCCGTTTCGCCCTTTCCTTTCCCCTTTCCGATCCCTCATTTCCTCGTCACAGACATTTCATATATCTCATATTTCACTCAAACTTACTTACTCAAACCTACTTACTCAAACTTCCTCACTCGAACTTACTCACTCGAACCCACTCACTCGAACTGTACTTACTCAAACTTACCTATAAAAGCCTCGTAGATTACCTTGTATCCGGTATCGAGTCAACACAGTGTTTTCACCCAGTTATCTCTTTCAGCCAAGTCGCTCTCGTCATCTTTATCTTATCATTGATCTATATCATTCGGTTCTAACAAGTTTGACTCGATCCTATACACCATGAACAATCCATCGGGAACCTCTGTCAATCTCAGCTATACCTGGCCCGACGCTCCTCCTCCCTTAAACCCCACCATCTACACCCCCATTCCTTCTGCCGGTCGAGACCACTTCGCTCGACTACATGGCAGCATTGATCCCGCCGATATCCCCGTCCATCCAAGCCAACAGCCTTTCCGCGTCCCGAGCCCTCAGATCTTGCCGCAAAATCTGATCAACTTCGTTCCTGATCTGCCACAGCCACCTCTACCACAGCCACCTGCCCAGGATACTTCCGTCCCTGTACAGCCACAGATGCCGACCGCGGCACCCCCTCTTGCCGACGTCAATACTCTCGTCGGCCTCCTCATCGACAACCAAACCGCCATTCAATCCTCTCAAGTTTTGTTTCAACAATCGCTTACAGATGTCATGAACGAGGTAGCCCGTCGCCCCGTCATCAATACCGATGGTCAACAACTTAATCCTCCCACTGCTCGCGGCGGTACAGTTCGCCTCCGCACCGCTCGCATCTTCAGCGGCAAACATGCCGATGTCACTCCCTTCCTCTCAGAAGTCAAGCGCATCATCGATTTTCACGCCAACTCCTTCCCCGACGATCATTCCAAGGTTCTCTATGTCGGCCTCAATCTCAAGGACGGCATTCCAGTCGAGTGGTTCTCTCATCTCGAGAACTCTGGCTCCGCACTACTCTGGGACTGGAATTTATTTCTATCTGCATTTCGCAAGAAGTTCGCAGATCCTAGTCTCATCACCACTGCCGACACCCGTCTCGATCACCTTAAACAGACAAGTTCGGCTCACTACTATCTCACATCATTCATGGAGCTCGCTAGTCACCTCGACATGACCGAGCAAACCAAGATCTCCCGCTTCATGAAGGGTCTTAAGCCCCTCGTCAAGGACCATCTCGTCAACATTGTCCAATGACCTCTGACCCTTGAAGCCTGGGAACCCCTCATTATTTCCATCGACTCCAACCTTCATCAACGTGAACTCGAACGCCGGCTCGAAAACGGTAACGGGAACAAAAAGAAGACCAAGTCGGATTCCTCTTCCCCTGACTCCAACACCTATCCTGCCCCAGCCACAACCTCCACTTCCTCCGACGTCGTCCCTATGGACGTCGACGCCATCACCACTGGTCCTCGCGGCAAGCTCACCGAAGTTGAACGCAAATATCGCTTCGACAACAAGTTGTGTCTGTACTGCGGCTCCAAGGACCACATAGTCAAGGACTGCAAAGTCCGCGCTACCAAGCATGGTGCCTTCGCGGAAAAAGCCAAGCCGAAGACCGACTAGTTCCCGAGTCTTCGGCAACGGATGGAACTATCGAGTCCGTTCCCCGTTGCCCTACGGGCCCCTCCTTCACCAAAGCCACGACTGGTGAATGGATAGCTACGTCGACTCTACCTCCAGTATTTCGTCTGCCCACTCATGTTCGTCTTGACCCCCAGAATAGAGATCATTTCTTTATTTCTATCACACTGTCCTTCCCTAAGCGAAAACCTATCCAAACCTATGCTTTAGTCGACTGCGGGTCCTCTGGCTCCCACATCTCTGACGCCTTCTCCATCCGACACTCATTACCTCGCTCAACAAAACCTACCCCTATTCCTATCTTCACCATCGACGATCGGCCACTCACTTCCGGTCTCCTCACCCACGATGTGATCGCACACTTAAAAGTCCGCGAACACTCAGAACACATCCGCCTCGGCGTCGTTTCGATGCCATATCCTCTCTTACTTGGGCTCGATTGGCTCAAGCAACACAATCCCGCCGTCGACTGGGCCCGAGGGAAGCTCACTCTTTCCTGTTGCGGCGCCAACCACAACTTTCCTGTTTCGGCTTTTGGTCGTGGCTACAGTCTCGTAATTCCCTCTGCCAAGCCTAGTTCCACCTCTGTCGCCTCTGTTGGTCTAGGCCTTCGTCTAAGCAACAAGCCCGCCTCTGATATTTCTAGGGTTCTCGACGTATATAACGCCAAGGCACCACCTCCCACACCTCATATCGAAACCGCAAACATCGCGTCGATATCCTCTGTCCTACGACCACCCATTCGAAACGGCCCCAGCCGCGCCGAACTCAAGTCTATTTGGTCTTGCCCACCTCCCCCACCACCCCCTATTTTTGGACCTCCTAATAAACCCGTCAACATCGCCTGCGTTTCCACCGAACGATTCCGCAAATATGCAAAAAATCAACCCATTTCCTACATCTGGTATACTACAAACGGCGACCTCGAACTCCGAATCAATGCCCTCTCCTCACTCCCTCCCGTCGACTCCACCCAACCCGAACCACCGCCCCCTGAACCTCCCCCTTCCTCCACTTCTACACCATCTACCAACCGAGCCTTCGTTACCGATACCACCGATGAAGTCGAAAACTTAGTCCCTAAAAAATACCATTCCTATCTCGACGTTTTCGATCCCATCGAGGTTTTGAAACTACCCGAACATCGCCCCTACGACATCAGTATCGACCTCGAAGAGGGGAAAACTCCTCCTTTCGGACCCATTTACTCCCTATCCCACGACGAACGACAAGCTTTATTCGATTACGTCGAGGAGCAACTCAAAAAGGGGTACATTCGACGTTCGACATCTTCCGCCGCTTCCCCTATTCTCTTCATCCGCCGCAAGACTGGCGACCTTCGCCTGTGTGTTGATTACCGCGGACTCAATTCAATCACCAAGAAGAACCGTTACCCCCTACCTCTTACCGCCGACCTTCTGGATCGCGTCCAGGGCTGCGACACCTTCACAGTCCTAGATCTCAAGAACGCCTTTAATCTTATTCGCGTGAAAGAAGGCGACGAATGGAAGACCGCTTTCCGTACTCATCTCGGTCTCTTCGAATATACAGTCATGCCTTTTGGCCTCACCAACGCCCCTGCAACCTTCCAAGCCTTTATCCAGGATTCACTCCGCGACATCCTTGACATCTCTGTCGTTGTCTACCTCGATGACATCCTCATATTCTCTCAACCCGGCCAAAATCACACCACACTCGTTACCCAAGTCCTTGATCGTCTCCGAGCCGCAAATCTCTTCGTCAACGCCAAGAAATGCGAGTTCGATCGTTCACTTGAAGTCGAATACCTCGGTTTCATTATTTCCTCAAAGGGTGTCCAAATGAACCCTAAGAAACTCGATACCATCCATCAATGGCCTGTTCCCAAGTCCGTTAAACACATTCAACAGTTCCTCGGCTTCACAAACTTCTATCGACGCTTCATCCATCATTATGCCGACATCTGCCTCCCACTCACCAACCTAACGACCAGCGCGTGTAAGAAATCATTCCCAGGACTATCTTCCGATGCCCTAGCCGCCTTCAACCAACTCAAACTCATATTCACAACCGCCCCCGTATTACGACACCATAATCCCAAACTACCCTCCACCGTCGTTACCGACGCTTCCGACTTCGCTCTATCCAGCATATTTCTACAACCCGACGAAGACAACCTTCTTCATCCTGTCGCTTACCATTCTCGCAAATTCTCACCCGCTGAGATCAACTACGAAATTCACGATAAAGAACTCCTATCCATTGTAGAGGGTTTCCGTGAAAATCGCCCCTGGCTCATCAGCTCCCCTCACACCATAGCCGTTATTTCTGATCACTCAAACCTCCGCTACTTCATGTCCACTCGCATCCTTAATCGACGCCAAGCTCGATGGTCCATGTACCTTTCCGAGTTTGACTTCCAACTGGAGTACGCCCCCGGCAAAACCAACCCCGCCGACGCCGCCTCCCGACGCCCCGACTACGTACCTAAAGAAGGGGATGACGTCCTTATCAACCAACGTAAGGCGCTATTAACCGACTACCACACCAAAAAATTATTCCCCAACACCTCCCAACCTTCCCCAACTCCCTCTCCTTCCGACCCTAAAACCATCAATGCCCTTTCCACCATTTCCCTCGACAATTCGGAACTCCTAGACGAATTCAAGGCCGCTTTCCGCTCTGATATAGAGTGGCGCGAACTCGCGGCCAAGGACGATAAGAATAATCCTTCCATCACCCATCACGACGACCTTATATTCCACAACAACCGACTCTTCGTTCCCCAACCTCTACGCTCCAAGATCCTCCATTCTCGTCATGATTCTGTAATCAGTGGACACCCAGGCCGTGCAGGTACTTACGATAACGTCGAGCGCGACTATTCATGGCCTGGCATGCGACGCTATATTAGGTCCTACGTTACCTCATGCGACCTATGTTCCCGCGTAAAGAACATCACTCATAAACCTTATGGACTTCTCCATCCGCTCGATATCCCTGACCGCCCTTGGCGTTCTATTTCTATGGACTTCATCACCAAGTTACCTCTGTCCCACGGTTACGATGCTATCTGGGTAGTTTGCGATCGCATGACCCGCGCCGCCCACTTCATTCCCATCAACGAAACCATCGACGCTCCCGGCCTTGCTCGCCTTTACCTCGATCACATCTTCCGTTATCACGGCCTCCCTCACTCTATCATCTCAGACCGCGGATCCGTCTTCGTCTCCTCCTTTTTTACTCATCTCATGAAATTATGCGGCACCAAAATGAAGCCTTCCACCGCCTATCATCCTCAAACAGACGGCCTCACGGAACGCACGAACCAAACCCTTGAAACTTACATCCGTACTTATTGCTCTTACCAACAAGACGATTGGACCGACTACCTTGCCCTTGCCGAATTCTCCTTCAATAACTCCAAGAACTCCTCTACTCAGCAAACCCCATTCTACGCCAATCTCGGTTTCCATCCAGACTTCGAGGTTCGCATCACCGACCGTACTACCAATCCAGCTGCTACCGAATTCGCCGACCCGTCTTCAAATCATTCACGACGAACTCCACCGGGAACTGGCTCATTCCAACGATTACATGTCCAAGTACTACGACAATCGACACATGCCTGCACCCCAGTTCAAGGAAAACGACCAAGTTTGGCTACTGCGCCGTAATATTAAGACTACACGGCCTACTAACAAGTTTGATTACCGTCGTCTAGGTCCCTTCAAAATACTCGCCCGTCACGGTTCCTCCTCCTACCTCCTCGAACTTCCCCGTACCTTCTCTCGACTTCACCCCGTCTTCCATGTCTCCCTCCTCGAACCATACAACCCCGCCTTCTGTCATTCCCGATCGTTTACCATCTGCTTCCGTCCCGCCCGTCGACATCATTCCCGATCAGCCACGCGACATTTCCACCATCATAGATTGCCGCAAAGTAGGTCGCCGATACGATTACTTCGTCCACTGGCGCGACTTCGACGATTCCGAAAACTCTTGGATTCCATTTTCCGACATTTCCACTTCTCTTTACGAAATTCTCGAATCCTTTCACCGCCGTAATCCTCGTCGTCCTCATCCTCCTCGTTTTGATTTCGACACCTCAACTCATCATCCAATTACCACTCTCGATAACACTCCCTCACCTCAAGATTCCCATCAATCACCACGTCCACGTTCCCCATCTCCACCTCCAGGCCCATGGCAACGCGATTACGAGCCCCCCACGCAAACCACCACACGTTCAGGTCGCGTCACACACCCTCCAAAGTCAAAAGACTACGCGCGCTCCATCTTAAAAGGGGGGTAATGTCATGAAATGCTAAGTCCCTTCCGAGTTCCGACCCCTCGCCTCCGTTTCCCCTCCGTTTCGCCCTTTCCTTTCCCCTTTCCGATCCCTCATTTCCTCGTCACAGACATTTCATATATCTCATATTTCACTCAAACTTACTTACTCAAACCTACTTACTCAAACTTCCTCACTCGAACTTACTCACTCGAACCCACTCACTCGAACTGTACTTACTCAAACTTACCTATAAAAGCCTCGTAGATTACCTTGTATCCGGTATCGAGTCAACACAGTGTTTTCACCCAGTTATCTCTTTCAGCCAAGTCGCTCTCGTCATCTTTATCTTATCATTGATCTATATCATTCGGTTCTAACACCTTGCTTCCTGGATAATAATCCAAATTTCAGTCATGCTTAACAGCGAGTCTTAGCAGGATGATGTAAAAGGGCCCGGGAAAAGACCAACCGCGATCTTAACTCTTGCCACCGATACAGAGCGACAGGGCTCCTATGCGACCTCAACTACTACCGTCATCGTATCGAGCAGATCAGTCATGAGCTTACAGTACTCGAGTAAGGAGTCGGAATACAAAGAATTGTCCGCATACTACCTACTGGCAGAAAGTTCGCAAAAATAAAAAGTTTAGGCTTACTATATTCCCAGACTCCCTGTCTGGGAGTCGAACCCAGCTCTCGCGCGTAGTAAGGGAACGGCTCGCTACACTATGCACGAATGACAAGCGCGTGTACTGAACCGATATACTAACAAGGAGTGATCGAATGCTACTGAGCCTTAACAATATCGTCGGAGAACTCGAACCCCACGCCAACCTACGCTAGGGTGGTATCCCCAACGGTAGTTCTGCCAACGTCAAATGACAGAGTCGTGGATACTTGATGAATCTACGGGAGAACCGAGATGCTCTACCTCACTAGCAAAGTGGGAGAGATGGAGATCGTGTTTGTTTAAGGGCCTTTTCATATCCTGGCTCGTGCTTCATGTGGGACAGGGTATTCGATCTCGTAGAATCAGGGTCGCCGGCCAAGAAGGAGCTCTGTCACCTCTGTGCGACATCACGAGGACAAACGTGGACGTGTATCGTGTGATGGTCGACACGTACTAATTCAAATTCAAATTGGAGTCCAAACTCTGACCTCGATTCAGCAGCGCCTACGAGATACATGAGCCCTGCAATCCTTTCCAGATTCTACGCGCATTTTTATCATCTTTCGGCGGTTCGGACGACAGGCATCGCGAGGATTTCAGTATAGCCTCAGGCTCATCCTTCATGTCAGCGATCGGCGAATACAAATACCATAAGAGCGAACTTCCGCATGGCAACTTGGCCGAGTGGTCTAAGGCGCTGGAATTAGGTTACTTCAAAACCATCCAGTCCTCCGGGGCGTGAGTTCGAACCTCACAGTTGTCACTATAAGTCCTCATAGGAATCACTTTTGGCATTTTTTCTCATCCATGACATCGTTATATGTAGGCCGTACCTACGCGCAGTTCCTCTCATAGCTTTCAGTTTATGAATACTATATGGCCGAAGGACAATTCGGTCACAGAAAGCTCCTCGACATATATTGTGCGAATGTCGAGACTGAATAAGACCGGGTAGAAATAGCGCAGGGAAGATCCTGTGCTCATGAGCAAAGTGCAGCCATGTACCGCTATTATCTTCCACCGGTCACGCATACAGGCTTACCCTCGAATAACACCCTCCATTCTCGACAAGTAATGCCAAACCTTTAGCCTCGATAGCAACGAGACGTCTTACCTGACACATCAGCATCTTTGTGTTACGTTGATATGGTGAGATAGGGTTTATACACGCCTACACGCCATCCGAGTCACCATCGCGGGTCCTCGCGGCCAATCCTACCAGTTCCAATGCGTGGTCGTATTCCTAAGTGACGTATGCACGATGGGCAAAGTCTTCAGGCTGTACATCGAATACTGATGTAGGGCGTGGAAGTAGCAGCATGCAAGTGTGAGGCAAGTGGTCCTGATAAGACACCCGCAGCGTGGGTATGATCCGTGTCGAGTTTGACGAGGAGGTTGTGATAAAAGCGGACAAGAACGCTGTATTAGTGTGAGCCAGATCGTAGAGCCAGCCAGGTATCTGAGGCAACGTACATTCTCGAGCGACTCCAACTCCAAAACTAAAGCTAATTCATAAATAACCCACATTTAGATACAGGCTACGGATCCATACTTGAGATGCATCGTGGCGAGAGAAATCCGCGGAGTTGAGAATTACGAGGCAGGCCGCAAGCGTTGATGGGCAACTCAACGAACATTAATCATGGATACTGGTCCCGACGACCGTCAGGTAGGCATCGGAGGTAATCGCGAAATGAACTCACCAAGTGAACAGATACAACAGGGTTGATCCTTTCCTTACCGGAGGCGGTGTTTTGACGGTGTTGCATCATCCTCCCACCGCAAACAAAACACAGCCACTTATACACAGCCACGAATGACACTTCTTCTCAGCTCCTCGACAGATACAGCTTCTCCACGGACAGCTACATGCTCGGACAACAGCAAAGAGCTGCGCAGGCCCCTCAGTTGCCGTTCATGACAGCGTGGAAGAAGTAGCATCCCAATCCCGGTATGGTGATACGCTGCGGGTGTCGATACGGTACCGCCTCGCGATCTTGAGTTCCGGTCGGCATAAGAACATCGTCAATGAACTTAGCAACCACCAAGGTATAAAGCCTTCTCTCTCCTCGTCCATACCTCCCCAAGAATCTCCGGTTCTTACCTCCCCTCCTCCCCCTCCTCCTCCTCTAGTCGCCTTCCCCTAATTTCCTCATCCTCCCGCCCCCACCCCACACACCATGACGGAATACGACTTCTCTCCCGAAGCCTACCAGGCCCATCTCGCCAACATGCACAGCATCTCGAAATGGGTCGACCGTACAGAAGCTAACCGCCAAGAGTTCACGAACGCAGCAGCACTCGTCGACGACCGTCATACACCACGTAGGCGCAGTGGCAGCTTCAGCGAACGACGCCGTCCACCCCCTCTACCTCTTCCTCCGCACGGTGCTCCACCATACGGCCCTGACCACGGATACGGAATGGGCATGGGCATGGGCATGAGTCCCTACCCCTCCACGCCCCACTCCTCCGACTCGTTCGACATGGGCTTCTCATACGCCAACGGTCCGGGATCTCCAGGGCCCATGCCCATGCACCCAGGCCCCTCCCCGCACCACCCCATGTTCGGCCCAATGATGATGTCCCCCCCGCCCAGTCCACCCCACCACGACCACAGGCATTCTTCCCACTCGCACTCCCGACGCAGTCGATCATCCTCCTTCAGCTTCGCCCCGCCACCTGGACCCCCTGGCTTCTTCCCGTTCATGGGGATGGGTGGCCCGCCGGGTTATGGACCGGGTCCGGGATACGTGATGATGCCCCCGGCGCCGTCGAGGCATAGGAGGAAGCATCGGAGTGGTGGGCCAGCGATCTCGTATGTGGTAAGTCACCATCGTCATGTTAGTATTGTGCAGTGCATTGATGGCGTTCCTCAGTATGTGTAGACGGGCGGTCAATCGAATTCTGGAACGGTATACAGGCTGGACGCTGACTCACTGAGTCTCGCTCGCGTCGGCTCTTCCTCTCAGTCCTGGTCGCCATGCAAACCGGAGTCAATCATGTCATGGCATTCTGCCATGACGTACTCCAAATCGCGCATATGAGCCCACCGGGCAACACCTCCGGCCGTCGTTTACTTTGGCAGGGAGGGCATGTCCAGCGAGGGACAAGTTGGGAGAACTTTTGGACTTACCAGACCCTATACATTATAGCATAGGAAGTTTCGTCACTTTCGCTATTGTGAACATCTGTACATCCAGAAGACGCCTGTTACTTTCGCTATCACGCAATGCGATGTTGAACTTGGCATTCTTTTTGTCGGGCTAGACGTTTCTTAACGCTATGTAGGGTCTATAACTACCTTTCCCCATCCTCCTTGGTCCTTGAAAATAGGGATGATGGCCACATTTGCAATCCGATCAACAATGTTAACTTGAGATGACCGACTAAGGTGCTGAGATCGGCATTTCCTTGATGATACATATGTCATAATCTCAACCCTCGGGTGCCGTATAAACCCTCCATTATTAGCATTATTCATACTTGCGTCCTCGAAGAACCTTAGCAAGCCGAGCATGGTGCGAGCTATCTCCGCTCAAACATCCGAAACCTTGCCCGCCGAGAAGCCCCCACTGGGGCGATAATCGTAAGACTGTCACCCCTGAAAAGAGATCAGAACCCGTTCGTCTTGGGCTGGCCATCCCGCGGTGGTACCGTCAAGATGTACGCAAGGCTGCGTTGCGAGTAACTGCAATCGTACTGCTGCGACATCTGAGTCGCGAAGTGGGTAGATTCTGTGGACTCATTTCATCAGACTCAAACTACCCAACCCTGGTCCTTGACCACCCCTGCACAGAACCGTCACTCTGGAATATTCCCCCCTCGAACTGATCTATGAGCGGCACATCATCTCGTCCTATCCAACCATTGTCATGTCTGGATTGCTCTGATAGTCTTCAACCCTTGGCGGGCTAAGTCGAAGTAGGAAGATTCCAGAGCCACGGTCCCCCTGGGGAAGTGCAATCCTCAGTAGACAGACCTCTCGTGTCAATGCACTGGTTTCCTTGATGAACCTTCAACCGTTGGCGGGCTAAGACAAAGTAGGAAGATTCCAGCGCCACGGTATCCCTAGAAAAGGGCAATCTTTAGTCTATCACCAGACGGACCTCCCCTGCACTGGTTTGCTTTGATCATCTTCGACCGTTGGCGGGGTACAAGCGGGGTAAGGCAAAGTGAGAAGATTTCAACGCCACGGTATCCCTGGAGAAGTGAGATCCTTGGTATCCGGAGACGCAGGGCTCAACGTTTCAGCGACCCTCCTACCACCCTTTTATACTTTCCTTCCCGCCCGTACAACCCGGCGACTTTTTTCTTGCTGTTTCGTGATGGTGGCTGAAGGTGGCTGATGGTGGGTACCAAGAATAGACGCATATTCGGCCCGGTGTCTTTACGGCCGGAATCCCGTGACTCGCGGCCCTGTTCGCCGCCATGTGCTCGTCAAAACAAGTGACCCAATTAAGAGCCAACTCCCGATGGCAACCATTCTAGGACAAGACGCTGTTCATTATCATGACGGAGCAAATCTAGAACGGACCCCCACTCAAAACTTTGCTATGCTTTCTTCGGAGCCGCCGACGGTATACGATGGTCGAAACAATCAACATAGAACATCTTCCCAGACCATCAACTTGCCCATGGGGTATGGATCGCTGATCGAAGTCTCATCTGAATTTTGAATTGGGTATCATCAAACGCGCTTCCGATGGGAAGATTCGGAGGTAACCCCCTTACATCTCACGTTGATCAGCTACTTATCGCCCCGGGAGGCCCCAAGCTGCTCCAAGCTGCACCCTGCAAGGTCAGGTCCATATATACGTGGGCAGGAACTGTCAATATGCATAGCTTCTAGCTCTCGATACCCGATTCTTGATCACCGATTCTTGATTGGTTTGAATCGTTGCCACGTCGAAGAATGAATAGGACCCTGGATGACTTTCGCGCTGCAACAGCTTCAGCAAGATCACTGCGCATTGGTCGCGATCGAGGGGCCCCTATGAAACGATCAATTTATGTGGCCCGTAAGGTACGTTTTCTCCTTCTATCATGGAGCGCTCGCGATACTAGTCTGTCTGACAAATTTGCTTAAATACTCTGCAGGCGTCGTCTAGGAGCTGTATTCCAACCGCACTCACCGCATTCAACTCCACCCCGCTCACAACACCCAACCAGCATCATGAAGTTCTTCTCGTTGATCTCTCTCGTCTCTATCCTCGCTGCAGTAGCTACTTCGGTAAGTCCTCATCTCGCTACGTCGGCGTGCGCTTATTGATCAAACTCTTTACATTCTAGGCGCACGACGACGGGCACGAAGCGCGCGACAACCATGAATTCTTCGAAGCTCGCGACTACGTCGATGAACTTGCCACCCGCGACATCGAGGCCATCCTCGCAACTAGGCAGCTCCATGAGTACGCCAAACGGGAGGCACTCTTCGCTGATATCAGCACCCGCGACATCGCCGACGAACTCGAACACCGTCTTGCCCGCCGCGCAGCTCACGCCAAAAAGGCTCCCAAGCCCAAGGGCAACGCTGGCAGCAAGGGACCTCCACCATATGTCTGCCCTTACTGCGGCAGCTCATACGACTCAGCCCAAGCGGTACGATAGAACCGCCTCGAGTGCTGTTTCTCTATTAACTTTATCTTATTGTAGGCTATCGACTGCAGCAAGTTCTGCAAGGCGAAGTAGGAGTCATACATTCAGTACTTGTAGCTAATTTATCGTCCTCGGAACACCTATATATTTACTTAAATACAGCAA